TCCATACAGTACCCTCCCATTTGAGTACTGAAAAGGCACGTCAATTGCTCACTCCGTTCGAGAATGGCCTCGACTGATTCGTGCTCCATTTAACCGCCAGCAGATCTCCCAGACAAAACTTCAAAATGGAGATTTTCGAGGCTCAAGGCTACCAGACTAAAAGGCTGCCGGCGCCAGCTAAAAGAAAAGAAAAGAGCTGTGCTGACATTTCAGCAAAGCTTGGCACTGCAAGGCGACCTTTCTTTTATTTTCTTTTCTTAAATTTGGACCATTTCTCGATTTATGTGTGTCACATCCTTGAATGCGCAGGGCCATGCTAATCTTCTCTGTATCGTTCCAATTTTAACGGATGTCCCGAAGGACGCAGAGCGATCTTTCTGAGTAGGACTAGAGCTAAACACTCAATGTATGGGGATCATATGTACTCAGGACATTCGCTTAGAAATCTAAGCGATGACGAAGGACTTTTTACTGCGCTCGCACATGTGGTTATTAGCATAGGTACTCAGGATATTGTGTCCACACTCTTCAGAGAAGTAGATCGGTAGCACTTCACCTTCACGTCATGTAAATACTAAATAGCTCTCAATCAAAAACAGACTTGTGCTATGAGCCACACAGTTCATCACCAATGAGTGCACACATATACATGCATCAAGCACAAGTGAGATGACACAAATTCTACACTGGATGCCAGAGAGTATAAGACCAGATAGCGCAGCTTATGAATTCCAACAAGTTATTACAAGAGCAATAACAGTTCAAGTCACCAGCGCTCATCAGCGCATACTAAAGGTAACCAGTAGCCAGCATAAGCTCTCAGGTAAGAAGTATCTCTTCCCCACTGCTCCTCTCTTATGTATCTCTCCCCCTCGCTGGTCTTCTCCCTAGCTATGTCCTCGCTGTGTCTTCTCTCCCTACATGCGTGCACACTCACCAACTTCTACTCAAGGATCTACTCTTAATACATCCACTGCTATGCCCTCTGACTCCCTACTAACTACCACTAACACCCTGCACTGGCGCAGCTATGGCTGCCTTCTCCATGGCAGCGCAATCTCTTCCTCTCTCTTTCTCTCTTACTGCGGCGTCCTGGCTCAGCGCACTGCCCCTCACTACAGCGCACAAGTGCACCAGCGCTTCCACACTTCTTGCAAATGAGCAATCTGCCCAATGAGGAGGCTGGCGAGTCCTTATATTGTCTTGGACTGCTGTTCAACTCGGCCCAGCCTCTGCTTCCTGGGGCTCGACTTACTTCCGGTACCACATCCCCACAGCCTGTTTGCTTCCGAATGTCAGGGCCTGGAACATTCCCGATTTTTCATTGGTATGCTGCTGCTTGGGCCTTTGAGTCACAACTTTTCGATTTTGACACCTGGTTTGACTGTGGACTGTGACTTTCCAAAATGACTTTTCATTGTGAGACTGTTTGTCGGGTGCCTATTCGACTTCACTGCTACAGGTACCCCCACTTGTGTCTTTTCTGAAACTGACCGACCTGACCATTCTTGGCCTGAACTCAAAGTTGGGGTCTGAATCGTGGAAGGCCTTTCACTTGAGCATATGGCAGCAAAAATAGCTATCGTTTTCAGATCCTTCTGAAATTCGGAGAAAAAGGCACGAGCTCTTAGATTTTATCATTTTACCCAAAGCACGTACACCTTATATAAACACACGCGCATTTTTGGCATCGTTATCAAAAACGCGCAAGTTTTAACTCTTCATTCCAATCTTGGAATTTACAGACCGCAAGTCTCATATACCAGATGGACCACCAAAAATAGCAATCGTCATCAAATCTTTTGAAATTTCAGAGCCGGCGTTACTTATGATCACCTCCGCCTCGGCAAAAAAAGACACACATGTACTGGTGGACTTAAGAATTTAAAATCCGTCACAGTGTCCCCACTGTGCGCTTGTAACTCGTCACTCTTACGGCATTACCTGATCCATCATTTTATTTTTAAAAATTTTTTCCCTTATCCATCATTTTTTTGTCTTATCCATCATTTCATCTTATGATTCTTAATAATTTCTTATCCATGATATTATCTTATGATTCTTAATAATTTCTTATCCATCACTATCTGCTTGAACATTTATATCGCCTGAAAAAAGGTCCATCAGCCTTTTTCATGCCTCTGCTCCATAGTTGCGGCGCACCAGTGCGCAGTGCAGGGCGGGGCGGGGCGCACTGCGCTGTGCGCTGGAATGACAGCGCGCACACTGTGCGCCGTGCGCTGTGCACAGTGCGCAGTGCGGTGCGCGCGCTGAGGGAGGTGCACCCTGCACGCGATATAAATTAAAAAAAAAAAGAAAGTCCCCAGAGAGAGAGAGAGAGAGAGAGAGAGAGAGAGAGAGAGAGAGAGAGAGAACAGATAACAAAGGGTCCCCTTCACGTCAATTTGAGGGCCCCTGCAGGTACCTGGAATGACTCCTACGTTACATGTGGAGTCATCGAGGATCGCTGCTTCAATTAGGAGGATGGTCTCGTTATCTGTGGAAAAAGTTGGGCAGACCACCAATATATGCTTTGGATTCGAGTTCAAGGCTGTAGATCGGCAGTTATGGGTCACCAATTCAGCTAGAGCCCGTTCGTGTCTCCACGTGATTCTCAGGGCCTCCCTCCACCACTCACCAAATGTATACAATACTAGTAGAATGAATCTTCTTCTAAAACATGGAACCATACACCGCGATATGCTATGTCTTTTGTGCATGTGGTGAATAGTGGAGCAGGCCCCACTGTACGTATTCGTAGGAAAACAAAAACAAAAAAACGAGAGCTCCCTCCACCACTCACCAAATGTATACAATAATAATATTAATAGAATGAATCTTCTGCTAAAACATGGGACCATACACCCCCATATGCTATTTCTTTTGTGCATATGGTGAGTGGTGGAGCAGGCCCCAGTGTACGTATTCATAAGAAAACAAAAACAAAAAAACGAGAGAGCTACGGGCATCTTCATCCTAACCCACAACTGCCGACATGCAGACCTGAGCGCCAACCTTCAGAATATATTGGTGGCCCGGCCAGACATGAAAATCGAGCCTGTGACTTCTGCAATGTTCGTGGAGCAGGTCGTTACTAGGCGACTACTCCCTTCTCGCGAACTTACTCCACCACTGCGTGGGATTTGCAGAAGGGAGGGGGAAGGCAAGTTTCCATACCCCGCCTAAGAGAGAAGTTGGAATGAGCCCTATTTTATGCTTTGCCTTTTTGAAATTTCTGGGGGTAGGGCCTGCGGAAATTGAAATTCGGTCAAAAAAGGTTCGGGCCGGTGGCGCGGCCG